TGTGTGTGTGTGTGTGTGGTGTGAACATATATACACCATGTGTGTTTGAATGATGCATTAGGTATCATGTAGTGGGTGATTGTGTTTGTGTTTGTGTGGGATTTTGTGGTGTGTGAATGTTTTGGTGTGTGTAGTGTTTGTGAATATGTGCATATTGGATAACCTTAGGAAAGGATGTATACTGAACGCAACATAGTTTGTGAATATGCAGGAATGAACCAGGAACACTAACGATTCTTATTTTCGCAGTATTAGTCCCACGAGGAGAATATAGTCAATAGATACGTATAAAGCAACATAGAACATGAATGTTATCAAATCTTTCTTCATCTCACAACATGCAGTCCAGCTGAGCTTTCACTTACCTTTAGAAATTCCTTCAATGGCTACCTGGTTACGTGTGTTTAGACGGAGGGATATCCACAACGGAAGGGTGCCAAGTGGAGGAATATTGTCTATCCACATTTGCAACGCACGACACGTATACACATCAAATAAAACAAATAATAACCATCGCTAAGTGCTGGCAACTTTTAAAGACATATAAACAACTTATATATATATAAGGTGTATGGATAGTGGTGTGTGTGATGTGGATCGTGGGTGGGTGGTGTGTATAGATAGTGGTGTGTGTGTATGTGTGAGGTGTGTGTGTGTGTGTGGTGTGTGTGTGTGTGTGTGTGTGTGTAATGTGTGTGGTTGTTGTGTTGTGGGTGTGTAGGGTCACAAACAAATACTAATTCCTTGTAGGAGAAAGGAAACACGACAAATATAGACTACAATATTTTGGGATTTGGAAGTGACGAACGAGAAGGTCACTGATTAATTCTAAGGGACACTATCTATCTCGTGCTAATGGATGTAGTCTGAATAAGAGATGCGCTAAAATCCTGACAATCGTTTAGCTTGGCTAAGCATAGATACCGCTACATTTAATCCTAGGTTTAATTCTTTACTTAGTCTAGTGCTTAACATCTATCGCTAATTCTACGGTGTGATTCTACGCATATGAACTAATCAAAATTCTACGCTTGATTCTAAACGTTAATTATTTTCTTATATAATACGCTTTCATTTATAGGCCTTGTGTCTCTGCTTAGGTCTATGTTTAAGTATAGAAAGGCTTTCAATTTTCTAAACTTAATTTGTGCGTTGTGATGTGGCTACGCCTTATCCTCTCTGGTCCCAATTATCTACGCTTACTCTAGGATACTTAATTCTAGGGGCTATTAACTCTACGCTTATTAGTAACGCTTGGGAAATCTAGACTCTTACTCTAACTCTAACTCTACTCTAGCTCTACGCTTAACTCTATGCTTAACTCTATGCTTAAAATGGTACTCTTAATCCTAACGTCTTAAACTCTACTCTATATAGAGTATCTGGGTGCTGTAACGCTTACGAGGTGAAACTCCATACGCGGGTTAGACGTCATAACTACTGTACTATCAGTCATAAACGTAGGTAACGCTACTTAACGGAGTGGAGATCTAGAAGGGCAAGCTTGGTAAGCATACGTGAAACTCTTAAGACTATAGCCTCTATAACTCTAACGATCTGTAGTTAAGTATGCACGGTTGAATACATGCTTAAACGTCTATTTTGCTCGTCGACACATATCCTCATAACTCTACTCTTAACTCTACACTTAACTCTACTCTTAACTATCCTCATAGACTCGCAACTCTTAACCCCTACCTTAACTCTACCTGTCTTTAACTATCGCGCTCCGTTATGCCAACTCTACTCTTCACGCTTACTCTTAAGTCTGCTGCTTAACCTTAGCGCCTGAGACTCCATCCTTAACTCTTAAAACTACTCCTCAATAACTACTTCTTCTTCAATCATAAACTCTTAACTATCCTCATAACTCTACTCTTAACTCTACTCTTAACTATCCTCATAACTCTACTCTTAATTCTACTTTTAAATCTACTCTTAATCATGTTGATGCTAGAGAGAGCTGTCCTGACCTCCCTCTGTCTGTTTCCTCGACGGACCCTCACCATATCTCGTATATACACATATATATATAAATAACACAAGATCAGAAGAATCTCCATGGTAGAAGCAGGGAGATGTCAAGTGGAAATATTTAAGTGTCTCGTGTGACATTTAAGGTAAAGATTTGGACGGAGCTGAAGCCTCGCGCTGCTCATTCGATTTATGTTGGGGGATATATGTGTGTCATTATTATATGATATTATTATATATATATTATATATTATATATATATTAATATATATAATATACAATATATCATAATTATGTGTGTGTGGGGTGGGTGTGCTGTGGATGTGCGTCGTGTGTGTGTAGTGTGACTTGTTCGTGATGGTGTGTTGTGTGTTTGTGTGGTGTGGTGTGTTAGATATGTGCTGTTGTGTGTGGTGTGTATAATATATATATATTATAGTATATATATATATATACGAACAACACAAAAGATATAATAGGTAATAAATATATTATAATTATATATATATAATAGTAATAACTGCATTTATACTATCATATAGGCACGAGTGGGATGGACTAGTGTAGTGTGTGCTGTGCATTGTGATGTGTATGTGGGCATGATATGTAAACACACACACACATATACATTGACTATATTAGTATATATATATATATATATATATATATAAGTATATAAGTAGCTGGAGGGTTATATGGATATATAGATGATACGTAGCGGCGTAGTCTGGATTACTATACAACAAACACATATTTCCGTATTTGACACACTCCCTTCCGCTTCCTCCTCTCCCGGTGGTCAGCGCAATCCGGAGTGGAGACGAGGCGACGGCGACGTGCAAGGCGAAGGCATCTTGCAAGGGAGAATCTGCAACAGAGGCATTGATGGAGTCGGTGAGGTTGAGTGTTAAATGAGCGTGAAATGGCGCCTCTTGCACGGATTGCAGCGTCGGGTCCTCCTCCTCCTCTCGTGGCGGACACGTGACTGCTCTTGCGCTTGCTCCTCCTCCGCTCCGCCGACTTCGCTTTTGTTTTTTATTTGGCGGGAATCACGTGTTTATTTTTCAACTTTGGGTTGCTTATTTTTTTCACACTTTTTTTCTTTCTTTTTTTCTCTCTGTCTGGTTTTTGTTACGTAATCTAATTTTTCTTGTAGTTCATATCGCTGTATGTTTATTGTTGCTTATTGGTTCGAAATGCTTCTATTATTCTTTGTTATGTCTTAGAATGCTTAGTCGGTTTCTTTTTTTGTTGTTATTGCTCTTATTTGAGTTTCTTTATGTTTTATCTTCATCGCTTTTTGCTTGTCTTTCTCTTCTCTTTGTCTGATTTTTTTTATAAAGTGATCATTTATCTTTGGACATCCAGATTTTACCTTTTTTTTCAATCGTTGTATTTCTTCTTTATTCTTCGATTCAACTTCTCTCTCTCTCTATCTATCTATCCTATTTATCTATTATATCTATCTATCTACTTCTTATTCTCTTCTTCTCTTTCGTCTTTCTCTCTTCTTTCATCTGTTTCCCTCTGGTGATGTCTCTCTCACTCATCTACTATTCTCCATTTCGACCGTCGGTTCTTTCTCGGGTCTTCTCTATTTGCTATTTTCTATTTCTATACATATCTATCTAACTATACTCTATCCTCTCTTGGTTCACTTCTCTACTTTCCTCCTTCTCAATCATCTCTCTCTCTCTTCATCTCCTTTCTCCTCCTCTCTCTCATCCTCTCTCTTCTCTCCTCCTCTCTCTTACATCTCTCTCTCTCTCCCTCTTTCCTCTCTATCATATCTTCTATCTATCTATCTATTTTCTATCTATCTATCTATTCTAATCTATCTATCTATCTATCTATCATCTATCTAATCTATCTATCCTATCTATCTATCTATCTAATCTTATCCTCACTCTTATATATATCCTAACCTTCTATACCTATCTACTTACTATCTATCTATCTACTCTCCTTTCTATTTCTCTTCTTTTTCGTCTTCTCTGCTCTCCTCTTGTCTCTGTCTCTGTCTCTGGTCCTCTGTCTCTTTGTTCTTTACTCGTTTTCTCTTTCTCTTTTCTGTCTCTGTTCCCCGCTCTGTTTTATTTTCTTCTTTCTCTTTCTCTTGCTTTCTCTCTTTTTATCCTTTTTTTCTCTCTTTTTCTCTTCACTTTCTTTCTTTCTTATCTTTTTTAGGAGTCGCACTTGATTATGCGTGTTTTATAATTTTCTTTTTTCACATACCTTTTAAACCACTTTTTTTCCGTTTTTTATTCTTTTCTTCTTTCATTGGTTCTTCTTTTTCATTCAAGTTTCTTTCATTCTACTCCTTCCTTCACTACGTGCGATCATTACTCTTTTTTTTCTCCTTCTTATTTCTGGATCTTTCTCGCTTTCCTTCTTTTATTTATTGGCCCTCTTTTTTATCTGCAATTCTTCTTCCCAGTTCTTCTACTCCGTTTAGTTTATATTTATTCCTTTTATTTTCATTTTTCTTTAATGTCTTAATACAGCTCATTTGATATTATCATCCATTTAATAATATTAATGTTTTTGTTGTTCTTAATTTTATGAGGTTGTTGATTTTGCTTGATGATGGTTTATCTTTTTCATTATTTTTATTGCGTGACTATTCTGATATCATTTTCTATTAACTGGTTATTATTTATTGATCAATTATTGATCTTATCCATTTGATCTTATTCTATTACTCGCCCACTATCCATTACAAGCTTCACCTCCCCGTTCAGATAATTCCATATTATATTTCAAGGCTATTTTATCGAACCATCATGGACAGGTTCAGCTTAATCATACACACACACACACATCACATATGCTTACAGACAGCTACAACTCTACTCAACACATCCCGCGCGCGCACGTCGCACATCCAACAAATCATACATACACAGCACACATCACACACAACACACGCAGAAAATCATGCCTACACACACACATCAACACGCAGCACATTGTAGAGAATCATACATACACACACACACAACACACTTACATCACACACTCGCGCCACCACACGAGAATATCCCATTTAAACCATGCAACCACACATGACGTTCACAATTCAAATGTCACCACAATATTATCAATCTTGATGCCTCACATTCATCCCACCACAATCACACCCTTCGATGCACTGCGCAACACGCAGAAAGTCATACATATCACACAACAAAACAACATACAACATCACAACATGCGCCATCTGAGCCCGGAAAAGGAGACCCAGGACGTCGACCATGGGCCCGAGAGGAGAGACGAGACAACCCTGCCCTCCACACTCCCATCCCCTTCCTATCCCCGATCCCCCCCCCCAAGGCCGCAACCGTTTCTCCCACGCAACTCGCCGCCCGGCTGGAATAGCTGAGAGGAGGGTGTTCTTACACAACGCAAAGAGTGGAGAGCCGAGAAACTTCGTCGAGTTCTCGGATATTTCACTTCAGTATGTAGGGGGCACGGCGCACTTGTAACTCGGTCAGAGACGGTCGCAGGTTGAAAAGACCTTGCGACACCGGATAGACCGATGGCAAGTGTTTTCGTTGTCGGGACCAAGTCCATTTCTAACTTACAATGAACCTCGACGATATCGAAACGCTCGGCTCGATCGAGCCCAAGCTAGGAATCAGAAGAGAGCATGTTTTTTTTTCATCTGTGTGTCTTCGTGGCATGAGACCCTTCCTGATGGGGAAGACCTGCAGAAGGATTCAGACCACGGCTCGGTCCGCAGGATCGAGTCCGATACTCTACCGATGCTCCAGAAACGCAGAAGAGCAGATCAGCAATGTCAATGAATGGGCTTCCCGCAAGACGTAAGTTAATTCTTAGCGACCGATGTTCAAGAGAGTACTGAGAGCCGTGACTGTTGAGGGGGGTCTTTTAGAGGGCCGTCCTGTCCCGTCTAGCATGACAATAAAAATAATAAACAAGAAAAAAAAGAAAAAAAAAAAAAAAAAAAAAACACAAAAAAAAAAAAATATTATTATCACCACATATATTTCTCATAACCTCATTGCACTATTATATATCATATAATTCAAGTCATCTACTATATACTATATATATATATTACACTACTATACGTATATTCATAGACTGGGACTTTTCCGGCTTTAAATTGGTCTTTACTAGCAGGATGAATAATCATAATCTTATTCTGATATATCTTGTATATACTCCGGCTTTATTTTTTGGTTATTACTCCATCACACATATCGTCTTACTCTTTATCAATCCTCTTTCATCCTTAACTCTATTATCACACTTTCATGAATCGTTTAGTAATCATTATTAACATTCTTAATCTGTGTTCTTTGTTTGTTTTTTTAGTTTCATAACTAATCGCTATGTAATCATTATGATCCTATTATTATATAATTCTCCTGTTTGTCTATCCCTCATCTGTCTATTCTATTCTATCTCCCTCTTTTGTCTGTCTGCCCCACCACCTCTCTTTCTCTTCTCTCTCTCTTTTTCTCTCTCTCTCTTTCTCCTCTATCCCTCCTCCCTTTCCTCCCTCTCTTCCTCCTCTCTCTCTCTCTTCCTCCCTTCTTCTCCCTCTCTTTTCCTCCTCTTCTTCACTCTCGCCATACTCTCTCTCATCTCTTCGCTTCTTCTCGTACTCTACTTCTCCACCTCTCTCTTCCCTCCATACCCCCTCCCTATCTCCCCCCTCTCCTCCCTCTACTTCTCTCTTCCTCCCTCC